ATGCTTCATGCTTCACTCCCGTGTACGGGTGGGTGCCCCTGGAACAATATCAATGGTCAGACTCAAGAAGGTCAAGCCAAGATCCAGGAGCACAAGGCGTTGTTTCGCAAACTGCTGAAGCGGTTGGACAAACTTATCACTATGCTTCGACAGCTTGACATTGTGCTTGTGATTAACATGGAACTTCCTAAGCTTTGCAGTTATTGGAAGAACTATTTCGTGCATGATTTCCTCATGAAATATGAGATGGTCAAGTACAACTGCGATGGTTGCATGTTTGGTGTCCTGGACAAGGATGGAAATTTGTTGCAAAAGTCATGGACTATCGCTTCTTCCTGTCAATCGTTGGCCAAACTGCAACAGTATAAGTGCACAAAGGATCATCAGCATGGACAGTCCAGGGGGGCGGCCCTCAAACGTGCTGAATCTTACACGTATGAAATGACTGACCTGATCCATGGATGTTTTTCTGAGTTTGCTGACAGCATGAAACAGGTTGTCACCGATAGCTCGGCTCAGAGACCCACAAAACGTGCACTTGTTGCTCTTAAGCTTCCCTCACCGGTAGCCGCAATGGCTGCTTACAATCTCGGGGAGTATGACGAGGGCAACTTGGAGTACTGGCGAGGTGTGATGACGAGCTTCACGTCGAACACCTTGTTCCAGGAGACGAGGCCTGAGGATCGCAAGACAATGGAGCAGATCCTCGGAGCCCAGGCCACCCTTCAGAGTTCATGCGCTATGTGGTCGGCTGACTACGCGCCGGAGCTCATGGATACGCTCTGCGCCGTTAACGACAAAGGTCTTGGCCGCATCACGCCCGGGGCAACCTGTGGCCGGAATAGCGTATACCTTGTTGTGAGTGACTCCAGCCTCGCCCTCATCAGCGGTGGCAAGAAGAACCGCAAGAGGGCGGATTTGGCGCAGGACATGAACTACAACCGCAGCACTGGTTGTACCCACTGTGAGGTGAGAATGTGTTGGGGAAAGGATCTCACATTTCTCACGTGGACAGTGAAGAGCGCCATGAAGGACTTGAAGAAGCGCCCTGAGTTTAAGGACCACGACTTCTACGTGACGGTGTACTGGTCCGGGAACGAGCTCGTTGGCAGTGGTGGGATCTGCGATGAGCCCGAATGGCCATACCGTTGCGGAGACGGTCACTGGCCCGAGCTGTTCAACAAGTGCGCCAAGGCGATCGATGTGCTTGAGGAGTGCAGGAGTTGGTGGAGCATTGCAAACATTACGATCTTGGCCAACACCGAGGGTTCGTACTACATGCTCCCGCCCATCTACAACCAGTTCATGGAAAAGTTGTTGGATGAGACGCTCAACAAGCACAAGCTCCTTCGCAAGAAGGAGTCGACGTTCCTGGTATCTCGTCAGGACCGGCTTGACAACTATCACATGGTGGACTCCATCGAGAACCGGAAGACGACGGTGGAGTGGCTGTGGTCGTTGTACAACGTCATGAAGTGTGTCGCTGTCGTTGAGTCCCACAAAGAAGATTTCAACAACATCAGGTTGTACCTTGAATATTCTCATGACGCTGATGCTGGACTCAATCCCAACACGTTGGCCGAGTACGAGGCGAACAGGAAGCTCACTCTGGAGTCGTGGGAAAGTCTTCAACGTCCGATCAAGCTCGCGAAGGGCCGCATCCTCGAAAAGATCGAGGAAGTCGAAATCAAGGAGGAGATCGACTATGATGACGATGATGCACTCCCGCAAGGGAGTGCCGCTGAGGCTGCGCTTGGCGTCAAGGCCGCTCCGGCTACACCCAAGTTCACCGCGAAAGCATCGCCTAAGGTACAGGCGAAACCATCAACCGCTGCGGTGGCATCGGATGTGCGGGGGGCAACCCCTGCCGGAAGCGCGTTGCCAGGCAAGCCCGGCGGAACCGTCATCTTCCGCGGCCAGGAGTATGAGGCGAGGATTCTCCCGGGCACGATCCTGAAGGTGCCCAACTTCATGAAGGGAGAAACGTCCTCTACCGATCGGTGCACAACCATATCTGGTATGCTTCGTGGCAGGTTTCAAGAACAGAGGCCACTCGACTTCGACGAGAACTATTTTGTCGACGTCCATCAGCTATGTGACAAATTCAACAGAAAGACCCGCAGCAATATCGGGTACAAAACGCTGTTGAAGATTTTTGCACTCGATCCGAAATGCAGATACACCGTCCTCGCGATCAAGCACCCTTCGGCTGCCGAGAACAACCAGGAGTGGGTTGTCATCAAGGTTCGTGCCAGTCAGGGACACGCCAGCAGCGTTGATGCTGATGGCGACATCAGCCGGAATCAGTATGCACTTGCGAAGGCCGTCTATGGGAAGCATCTCCCGGAGGACGCTCGCAAGGTTGGACTGCAACTTTCACCGGTTGATGATGGCCCTGGCAAACTATACCATCGCACGAGCAAGAACGCAGCCGAGAACATCGTCAGGACAGGTTTGGTCCCGGGTGGCGTTGGTGTCACGGAAAGTGGCCGCTCGCAAAGCCATTTTTCCATCCACCCGGTAGAGAGCTCATCGTACAATGCTGGAGTCCGAGCAACTATGCCCATTGAGTTGGTGATCGACTTCAAGTATGCGATTGAGCTCGGAGTGGTGTTTTTCCTTTCCGAGTCTGATGTCATGCTGACCAACGACATCGTTCCCAATGACTCCATTCTGTACTACACAGACGCGAAGACCGGAGAAGTGCTTTGGAGGAACGCCCTTCGGCTTGAGGCATTGGAGAATCAAACGACTGTCGATATGCTCGCCGCAAGGCGAGCCGTCACTGTGACTGCAGACGAGGCCTTTCAGACCGATGCGGAGGGGAACAGGGCCACAAATCCTGAAGAAGAGCAGACAAATGAGGATACGGCCGCTTCTCGCCCGGGGCAACCCGCGGCCGACACCTCAGTTGTCCGTTTCAAGACCTTTGCGATGCCCGTCCACTACACGGACTGCAGCCTCTGCGGCGAGGACATGATGCAGGGGCAGATCAAGTGTCAGCGCTGTGGACGGAGCACCAAGGAGACCAACGACGTCCAGCTCTTCAGAGCCGCAAAGCGGAGAATGCAGATGCTTGAGGAGGTGAGCCACCGCGTCGGCAAGACGGTCGACCAGCTCCTCATCAATGATTTCAAGGGCTATGCTGATGTTGCAAAGAGAGGAGCAACATCCTTTGAAGCCAAGCAGATCGAGGCTTCAAAGAACTACGACAGCAGGGCCCGCAAGCTTGGGTACGGCAACGTGGTTGATCGGTTCGACAAAGACGCAACCTTTGCCCTTCGCATGGTGGAGCAAGGGCACAACCGCGACAGCCTCTACCAGATGTCCATCTATAGGTTTTGTGTCCTCCCCGAATTTCCACGGAGTTATGATCAACGACTTCTCGGGGTTGGGCCACGCTATGGAAAACGAGGCCTTCAATATGTGAGGACCGTCTACGTCACCGGCGGCCAGGTCGGGGACTATGACGACAGCCTGCTCGAGTTTCCATGGCTATTCTCGTACAACGGGAAAATGCTGAGTCTTCATCAATTCGTCGACCAGGTCAACATCCTCCCGGGGATGCGCAATCTTGTCACCTTTGGCGGGAAGTTCCCTACGCTCCGGGCAACCGGAGCCGTGGACCTCGAAGCTGAAGTCAAGGAGATTTGCGGCCAGGCGGAGGACGATGCGAAGAAGCTCGCACGGCGCAGCCAAAGGCAAAGCGCCGAGGACCGCGCCCGCGGACCTGTGCAAGCTGCTCAGCCCGCCTCCAGCTCCGCTGCCAGAAGCCGAAGCTGGAGAGATTGGGGCAGTCAGGACTGGAGCAGTCAGGACTGGAGCAGCTGGCAGTGGTCGACCTGGAGTTCGCGCGGCTGGTCTACTAGCGGAAGGTGGTGAATGCAATCCTCATCACAACGGAGCCCTTCTGAGAGAGAGTAGCAATTTGCATGCACGACGGATGTGTAATGTCCATTTTCAACGTGCAATGGATGTGCGTATGGAATCAAAGCGGGTTGCAAAACCTGCCGACATTTTCGTTGTTGCTCAATCTCAAATGAGGGGGGTGTGGATTCAGGTTCCAACCCTGTGCATGAGTGTACCTTGTACATGCTCCGCCGCTACAGACTTCAATAGCACTACCAGCAGTGTGAAAAGTAGTCAACGGTTTGCTGCTTGCCTAGGTATTACCTTAGGTGGCCTAGGCTTGATAACACAGTTTGTACTCCTCTGAACATGAACCACCGCTGTTTTTAGATGAATTTCCTCTAGTTTCCTTTTCTGGAATCTCTTTTGCAGGAATCACTTTTAGAAACCCCTCCTTTGGAAGAGTCTCTGTTTCGACGCCTATGGCTCACGTGGAACTCCAAGAAAAACTATTGTTGCTTAACGGAATGTCATTTTGCCGAATGGCATGAAGTCAATATGGATGTTTGTTTGATATGATGTTGTATTTTAAGGTTCATCATGGACAAGAATCACTCATTTGCGGGCAACAGTTGAGGCAGGAAATTCAATACTTCAGCATGCCAGATGGTAGTTTCTTGTTGGGATCAGAACCATCTTGCCCTTTTGCCCTTTAGGCTTTCTTCATTTTGTTGTCACTAACACGTTGTCACCTCATTGCGGTGCCAATGAACCGGAATCTCCATGTTGCGCTCCCAACACAACGGGAGGCCCAGGGTTCCAACACCTCTCGTGTCCTCGAAAGCCCCGCCTTTTTCGGTGTCCGTTGCGGCAAGCGGAGGTCATTTCCTGTCGGATGGTTTGAGTCTCATTTGGGTGGCGCTTTTTTGGGGGTACCCTTTTTTGGTTAAGGGAAACCAACAAAAACCACGAATATATATATATATAGAGATATACATAGATATCATAAAATGAAGAAAGAAGGAACAGTAGTTCACGGCGGGTGGGCCTGACCGTATATATATATATATATATATATAGTTATTCCTGAAGGGGGGTCCCTGAAAACAATTCATTCATGTATCTCCAACCGGTTAGTTGACTCGGCTGAGGATCGGCATTTTGGGCGCCGGGCTGATGGGCGGCGGAATTGCCATGTGCTTCGTGCAGAAGGGCATTCCGGTGGTGCTGAAGGATATCAACATGTCATTCTTCTTGGCATGTGTTTGAACTGTTTGTTTTAGCCGTTTGTTTGTTTGTTTGTTTGTTTGTTTGTTTGTTTGGTTGTTTGGTTGTTTGAGCTGTTTGAGCTGTTTGAGCTGTTTGAGCTGTTTGGTTGGTTGGTTGGTTGGTGGGTTGGTTGGTTCGTTCGTTCGGTTCGGTTCGGTTCGGTTCGGTTCATGGTTCATTCTTAGTGGGCTGCAAACAGCGAGGTCCAGGTGTTTTGCTCACGTGCCAAAGTATGGACATGTTAATGTGGGGGCAGGGGTTATTCCAAAGAGCTTGCATAATATCGAGGTTCACTAAGTCTGATACACAATCTGCAAATCTTTGCTGTACCTTTGGGTTGGGTCCGCCATGATGGATCAAGCTCTTTACCTGACAAACTGCCATCTTTCACCTCGTCCAAAAATCGGGTGCTCCAGCGCTGTTTTGGGGCGAACAAGACAGAAAACCATGTTAGGAGCTCCCCACATTTTGCAAGCAACTATGTTCATGTCAGCTCTTGCGAGTTTGGTCGAGCGTCGATTTTGTTTGTTGCCGGGATCTGGTTCCCTTGGAACCGGCCAACTGGGCTGGTATAGCTTGGAATGGCAACCAGTGCCTGCTGTTGTTTTTGTTTAGAGAGTTTCCCTTAAGAAGTCAACCAAGCATCAGGGTTTCCCGTTGTTCCCCAGCAGAAGAGCTCTGGAAGATGTTCCCTTAGACCAACATTGAAGCAGGATGTGGCCTAGGCACCCCTGAGAAATTGTTTGTTTCCTAGCCTCCCCATCCAAAAGAAGATCCCCGATTTTGTTGGACACCCCACCAACTTCTGTTCTCCGCAAGCTACTGCAAAATTCAGCGTTTTTGTGGCTCACATGCCAAGGTTTGGAAAGTCAGGAAGATCAACCTCCTTTTTTTTCTCGGAATATTTTTTTTTGTTTAGTGTGTCCCGACCCAGCAAGACACTTACTTGCTTTTTGCTTTCTGTAGTTGACTCCACGTGAGCTTCGTTCTAAACTATCGCGGTTATTGTTCTTAAAGCCGGTTATTGTTCTGAAAGCCCACGACAGGTTAGTTTCCTCCGCGGAAGCTCTGCGGAAAGCCTAGCAAGACTAATCCCGTAACCCCCCCTCCCCCCCCTCAAAGGGGATAACACATACGCAGGCCCAGGCAAAAAGCTAAAGTCTCAGTTGTTCAGTGGCTCCCTTTTTCCCTTTTTTTTTGGTGGCTGCCCCACTAAAATGGTCTTCCCAAAAAGGGTTCCCTTTTTTTCCAGGGTCACTGAACAACTGAGAAGTTAGAACAGAAGCAATGCGCAAATTCCAGATGCCGCCGACATTTCTGCCGAGTCCTCTCGGTTTTTTTGCGGAAGGCGCGGCTTGCAGAAGGTAGCCTTGGCACGGAGGCAATCATTTGGAGCACCTCTCAAGTGGAATCGGTTCCTTTGCAGGGTGGGTTGTTCTTTAGAGAAAAGTACCAAAAAGTTAACTTGAGTTTCCTGCGAGCGTTTTTCTTTTGTACCAAACAGTCCAGGTTTCCTGTTCTTCCTTCTCTTTTTGTAGGTCTTCCTCCAGCAACCAGGGGCGTCCCTTTAGCTGCCGGTGGATCCGGCCTATTGCGCACGGATTCCGCGCACAGGACGCGCAGCAGGACTGGCTGGACAGCGGCATGAAGAAGATCGAGTCTCTTTGGGCTGGGCAGCTGAAGAAAGGCCGGCTGTCCAAGGACGGAGAAGCGAAGCTTTTTTTTTGACCCCCACTTAAAGGGGCAGGGTACTTAGTAAGTGGGTGCTAACCATGGTGAGATAACCCACAAATCCATGGTTGGAAGTCTCCTAATTGGGTTATAACCAGGCTTACTAATCGGCTTACTAAGTACCCTGCCCCTTTAAGCAGGGCTCTCACAACGAGACACGTGTTGCCATCCAGTGTAGGTCTTCCAGTAGTGCCCTTTTACGGACTTCAAGATTCCTTGCCGCAGGTTCGGGAGTGCCTTTTTCTTTATTTTCCCAAACTGGGGAACTTGACGTGGGTAGATGTTTGGGTGTGGCTCAAAAGCAAACAGCTGGGGCAAGCCGCAGGTTTTAGTCTTTGAACATATACCAAGGTGCCATGTTGGAGGGGTGGGGGTTTTGAGGCACAGCCATGTTTTTTTTCTTTGTTTTGTTTTGTTTTTTGTGTTTTAACACTTGAGACTAGGTCCCCCAGTAGTGCCCTTTTACCCTTTTTGGGGAGAGGGTTCCCCTGCTAGAATAGACTACAGACAAAAAGTTGGTGCCCTTATTCTAACCTCTCTACTGGAGGCCAGCCAAGGTGCCATGTTGGAAAGTTTCTAGAGGCACACCCAGTTTTTTTGTATCACTTGAGAGGTCCGAACAGCTTGAAGGTGCCAGTCTGAGCTGTCTTGATATTCCCAGCCGCATTTTTTGTTTGTTTTTTCCCGGCAGATTCACCCGTGAGCTGTTGTTTCCTTGAGGCAGACCTGAGTCACCCCGTGGGTTTGACCAAGGACCGGAAATATTTTCTCATTTTTCTTCCAGGGGACTTAAGCAAATGGAGATGAAGTGAAATCACCGGCCATAGTTTTAGGTCACCAATGAGCCAAGGGCGTGACACCGCTGGCCACAGAACCAACACTTGAGGACCCCACAGTCTGACATGAAAACACGGGCCTGAATGAAGAGCTTTTATCCCATGGCAACTTTTTCTTGGGGACCCCCCCCCCCCCCATTTTGGCCGGTCAAATGACTATCACTTGCCATCGCCCGGGATGGTTTCGTGCAAAATCAACTCAGTTGTTCAAAGCCGACCCTTTTGACCTTTGGTTTGACTCTATATAGGTCCCCCAGTAGTGCCCTTTTTCCCTTTTTGGGGGGAGGGTTCCCCCAATACAATAGACTACAGAAAAAAAGTTGGTACCCTTATTCGAACCTCTCTACTGGAGCTAGCTCTTGGTCCATCTTTAGAGCTCCCAACAGCTTGACCACTTTTAGTCCCAGGTTTTTTTTCCTTTTTTTTCCCCCGCAACTGAGCCAATAGGACAAGTACCAGCAGTACATGGGCCTCTTGAAGCCCACCTTGGACTACGCGGACTTCAAGGCCGAGCGAAGTTTCGAGAGCCCGCGAGCCCGGCTCGATCGATCGCCGTACATTTCCGGTGCTGGTTGCCCGCTCGGGAGATGGGAAGGCGAGCCCACCGTGGTGCCTTACTCTTCGGTTTTTGTTGTTGTTGTTGTTTTTTTGGGAGGGGGCGTAAAATTTATCTAAGATAGATGGATTGTTTCAGACACTTGCATACTCTCAACTCAGTTTGGCCCTATCGGGACCTTCTCTTGCAAACAAGTTTTGCCCGCTAAAGTTTTAAAGGGGGGCATAGGATGTCCCCACACTGCCACGTCCTCAGCGCCAGAATGTATGGGGGGCAGGGCGTATCGGCGCCCCAAACAGACCATTAACCATCTTACTTGCACAAAGCGAATCGATCTTTTGACCTTTCACTTTGTTCTTTTTGACATGGCGACACATGGTCCTCCACTGTCCCACTTCTCACGTGGGAGGTGTTTGTCGCTGAGTCAAAATGGTAGGGACGGTGGATGCCCTACATATTGCAAGTCATGGGTATATACGGCAAATCAGGGAGTTCCCTTGTTTCTCTACTTGCCACATTTAGGGCATCCACCTCATCAAAACGTTGTCTGGAGATGCCTGAATGAACAAAAATCATGGGACAGTTTTTGTGGACGACCTTGACTGGCTGCACCCGAATTGATTGGGGACAAAGTGATGCACTTGTATTTGTCCGGTATGACGTTGTGATGTCGTTTTTTTTTTTTTTTTTTTTCTCCGGAGAAGGCTCGGGGAACAACCGTGGACAAAGCTGCAGAAACGTAAGTTCCCCCTAGGGCTTTGCTCTGAACGACGATGATCGGGACTTTCAAATCCAGTTCTGATGTTGCATAACCCGATGTTTGCGTGGAAATAGAGGTGAGCGAATGCTTTGATATGTTTGATGCGCTTGGCTTGCTTTCTAGTCCAACGGCCCTCATATTTCCTTGCATTTCCTTGCCAACTAATTTAAACCGATTTAAAAGATGTTTCCGTTTGGAGGGAAGGGTGTTTGAAGGGCATAGATGACATCTATCCAAGTGGTTTCGTTTATTGTCAGTGCAATGGACACCATGAAGCAGATCTCGGATAATGTTTTTGGAAGGTTATTTGCCTCCCCCCCCCCTAAATAATTTGGAAGTGAGTTTCCATTTGCTTTAGTCCCCCGCCCCCTCCAGGAAGCAGTCTTTGTTTTCAAGGCGCATTAAAACATTGATAGGACGTGGATATGGTCATCGAAGCCGTGCCGGAGATCATGGACTTGAAGAAGCAGGCAGGTTTTGCAACTCACTCCCGTTCGATTTCCTGGGCTTCAGTCACCTTTGGGGGGTTAGACCGGTTTAGTCTAGGTCCCCCAGCTAGGTGCCCTTTTTCACCAACTTTTTTTGTTGGGAGGGCCCCTACTAAAATAAGCTACAGAAAAAAGGGTAGCCTTATTCTAACCTCTCCACTGGAGGACCTAGTGGTAAATAAACATTTAGATTTTTTGGGGCCAATCCACTGGGGAAGTGGGAAGATCTCCCCATGCAGAACATGCGGGGGGGGGGGGGGTTGGCGGTTCCAGAATTGGGCTGAAGCTCCACTTACCTCCACTCAATCCACAATCGGGTTATGAAAAGAACTGGTTTGCTGAGTGTTTTTTTCCAGGACCATGGTTGCCATGGTTGAAGCTATGGTTGGTTGCTATTTACAGGGGAATCATCAGAAACCAGGGTTTCTGACCGGTGGTGCGGGATTTTGCCCATCCACGGTATTGATGCATGGCTTTGGATGGCATTCGGCTTTCCTTTTAGCTTCCCGGAAGAAAGCCAAGCCGAAAAGGGTACACTAAAACACACAAACACACACACACACACCCACACATCGCCATGGGATTGAACATCACCCGCGCTTTCGGCCATTGGTATTCTAGGATCCAACAAAAAGGCACCTAATAAAAACAACACATCAAGTGGGGAACTCGACCGCAAGAATACCAAGTTACCTTATGTTTGATCGTCTGTAAAAGCGGTGGCTCACATGTTCCAAGAGGCAATCAACAGCCATAAAAGCAAAGCCAAGAAGCCATTGTCCGAGTCACTCGTCACTCGTCGAATCCCTAAGTCCGACCATCCCAATTCCGAATTGGAAATCACGAGGGCATGTGTAGACATGATTTTCAACTTCTATCCACGGGAAATGTGTGCGTTGCATAAAACATGTGTTGAGTGTATGTCCCGGACCCCCTTTGAGCTTTGATCAAGAGAGATCCCTCAAAATGGACTTCGGTTTCGGTTTCGGGAGATCCGGAAAACAACATGTGTTGCAGGTCCCCAAGAACAGGTCCGGAAACAACGGGCGAGGAAAACGCCCATGTTGCGGACCGTCCCATGGATCATGGATGTTTGCAACCCTGTCTGGAGCAGGAAGTTGGCTCTAATCTGTGCTGCGCAAATGGACATGTTGGCCAATCCTCTTCACAACCATCCCTCAAGGCAAGGCATTGCCCAACTAATGCTGACCCCGGATTAATAAACCCCTGTCTATTAATATGCGGGTGTTCCCCTCCAAAAGTGATAAATCCCCGCAAAAACCAGGGACACCCCCATATTAACAAACAGAGGTGCAGGGTTTTATTAATCCTGGGTCAACATAATTCCACCTGTTTTGGGGCTTCCAGTCGGCCACTCAGCCCCATGTTTCCCATGGCCTGGCTTCCGCACCAGGTGTTCCTGGACATTGAGAAGAATACCAAGCCGGATGCGCTGATCCTTTGTCCACATTTGGAACCATCTTGAAGGTGTCTCTATTCAGACAAATGCACAAAAACACCGGTGTCCTGTTTGTTTGTTTCGGGGTGGCTCTGGAAACATATGCGGGAACACACACACACACACACCTTCGTACATTTGATTAGCCCTTTTCTGGTGCTAGTTTCAAATCCTGGTTGAGGTGTTGGGCCTTGACCAAGGATTTGCACCAACACCAGTGGCCTCAACATCGACGACATTGCAGCGGTGTTGAAGGACGAAGTCGGTGGGGCGGTTCTCAACTTGCGGAAAATGCTAGGAGTGGAGAAAATAATGCGGCAGTCTGTATCTCCCGGGTTTTATCCATCCAAATTGGCGCCGGATGTTGTTCATCCAGAATACGATTTAGGGTTTGTCTTTGAACCCCCCCCCACCAGTGCTAAAAGAGTGCAATTATCGGTGGATTCCACATTCAGGCATTCAACATGTTGTCTAGCTATGAGGCTTTGGCAATCATGTTCTGTGATACTTCCAGGGGACCCCGATATAAAAGTCCCATATGCGTTTGAAGCAATCATAGAGTGTATATTGTTAGGTTCCTCTTTTCAGTTTGGGGGTAATAATTTCAGAAAGCTTCATTGTATTTGGTCCGCTTTGATTGATCAGGTACCGACGTTGAAAAAAGACTTCCAATTCGTTTTCCCCGAAATTCACTGGTCTGGGCAGGTCCAGTAGGCTTCCTTTTGGTTTCCCTTCAAAAAAAACAAAAAACAAGAAGGGTACCAAGCCACAAGGCTCCAGAACGGAAGATCGAAACACACACCCACACACACATTCTCCACCCACAAAACGAAAAACCATCCCAAAACGGGGACAAAGCGACAAGACAGCCTCAAGAAGGAAGACTAGGTCCAGCTAGGTGCCAACTTGTTCTCCCCTCTTTTGGGAGGGTTTTCGTCTACTATAATATACAAAAAGAAGTTGATACCCTTATTCTAACCTCTTTACTGGAGGACCTAGAAGAGAAACACAAGCACATTCCTTCCATATAGTTAAGAATATTGTTTATTTTCCACTGTTGGTTGTAAAGGAAATCTATCACTACTGGATATATTTTCTTAGTCTTTCAGGGGACAAAAACACAAATGGAGGCAATTCCCCTTGGGAGGATCCAACACCTGCGTAGCTCTAGCTCTTTGATTTTGAGCCATAGGTTGAAAGTTGGGTGCAAAGATGGTTCGAGGAGGGTTTCCCCAAAATAGACGACCGAGCTGGGAGGATCCCATTGGGAGGGATCATATTTTCTCATTTTTAAATTACCATGTTTTCCACTATATCGTTTATTTGCACTGGACATATGTTCTCTCATTTTTGCCAGGGGACCAAAAAACCGCAAATGGAGGTGAAGTGAAATCACCGGCCATAGTTTCAAGTTACCAATGAGGCACATGAATTGTGTCCTTAGCTTGCTGGTTTTTTCTTTAGGGGAATGAAGGAATGAAGCACCTTCCCATTGGGAGAGAAACCCACCTTGAGGATCCCAGCCGGGTCATGGGCACCCACTTCTTCTCCCCGGCCAACGTCATGCAGCTCCTAGAGAACGTGCGCACCTCGAAGTCCTCGATTCGGACCTTGTCCACCGGCATGGCCATGGGCAAGCTCATCAGCAAGCGTCTTGCAAGCAGGAAACTTACCTCTTGAAAACACAACTTTTCTCAACTTTTTGGGGGTAACATGGGCTATATGTCTGTAAAAGATGAGAACTTCCCCCAATCCTTGGAGTAAGGGGTAAGGAACGCATCCCCCCCCGGGGCCCAACACGGGCGCCTCGCCTTTTTTCAGGACCCCTTGGAAAGGGAAATGAAACCAACAGGCCGCCCAGCGGGTCTTTTGGTTTTTTTTTGTGGGGGGTGTCTGATGGTAAAAGACACACAGCCCATATTGCAGGCACACCAACCACACTGAACGGGGAAAAATTCGGTGAGTTAGGGGGCCGTGTCTGCTTTGTTTGTGGCTCGGTACCCTTTTGGTGGTTTCAGAGAGAAACCAACAGGTAAACCAAAATCCATTTTTGAGCTCCCCCTTGACGTGTTCCTTTTCTAGCCGCCATGAGAGTCGTTGTGACAAATGTGGTTTTGGCCAACATGGCTCGATGTGTGCGCCTTGTTGCTTAGCGGAAGTGGCCGGTTGAGGATGATGGGGTGACACAGTGGAATTTGGTGGTTCCCAGCCATTCCCAGGTTTTTGGTTTTTTGGGTCTTTAGGGTTTAGCAGTAGTTTGCGCTAAACCACAAACACTTAGACTTTTTGGCCTGGGATCTGGGAACAGCCCAGTTTTGATATGACATGACAGTCATGGGGATGGCCCACTTTGGTGTACAGAAGTGTGTTTGTTTTTTTGCCACAACCATGACGAGAGCTGTGGCTTGTGTTTATTTGTAGTTTTTGGTTTGTTTGTTTGTGGTTTGTATTTGGTTCTTGCATTTGTTTTGGGATATGTGCAGTTCACTTTTCGCAGAGGAACAAGCTGGGAAGCCCGTGCCCCATCCCTTCACGACCTTCTTCTGTTTTTTGAAGTGAACGAATCTCGAATTGGGCCAATCAAGAAGGAGCTGACCGATTGCGGATTCACAAGTCCAATATCAACAATTGTTTCTTTAAGCCGGCTCGAATTCCACCTGGACAAACGTCAAAAGTGTAGCGTCGTTTTTTGGACATTTTGGCCAAGTGAATGAGACATTTGTCTCATTGACACGGATAGACGCCCTGGGAAAAGGGACGAAGTTTCAGAGACCTGCGAGACTGAGCTACCGACAAAGGGTATCCCGGGGCCTATCATGAAAACTCATCTTAGTCTCCGAGGCTTTCGCACGCAAGAGCGCGTGACCCCCCATTTAGTCCGGTCGGTCGCGCTGCGACTTCAGCACGAATCCTTTTTGCAAGAGCAGGCAGCAGGTTTTGCCAGCGCTCGCTGTGAACAAGTTGGGAAGGTGGCTGAAAACAGATTCCTGCAGCTGCCCTCCCTAATCTTTCATTGGATCCTAAAAATAAGAAGTTGAACATCTGAGACAATATGCTGCCACATTTTACAGGCTTTCGAGAAACAACTCGCACTGTTGTGTTCATCTTGCTTTTCAGAGGCCAAAGGAGGTCTTGACTGACTTAGGAAGTGCATTATGGTTGGCAACTGCGACGGCTTCGTGGGCAACCGAATGTTGGCGCCGTATGCAGGGGAGGCCAAGATGCTTTTGGAGGCACCGAGAGATGCAGGCTTGCTTTGTCCCTTTCAGAACCAAAACCAGCACAACCCCCAACAACTGTTTTTTTTCTCCAGTTCCAACATCCCAAGTCCTGTCCAGCAAGCAGTGGTTTGGGGGGGGCGCTGGAAAAAAGGCTGCTTGCCCTCAGAAATGCAGCCAATTGATGACTTAAGCCAACAGCATAGGCCAGCCTTAGTAAAAAAATAAACACGTGGTTCCAGCGTTCTTCGCGGTCCACAAGCCGGCGCCTTTTTTTGATCTGGTTTCCTCGGGCTCTTCAGCCGGCTACAAAGCTTCTAGGCTTATGCAGGGATGGCGCCCCACAGCATCTTGGGGTCCACGAGTTGAAATACCCCTAGTATTGTATATGCATATATTAATATATATGTATATATATATATATATGTATGTATATATATATATATTTACTTGCACACATGTATGTATCTATGTATATATATATATGCATGCACATATAAGTATGTATATATATATATATAGATATGCTAGAGGTCTGAACCCCCCTTCCCCCGCCATGGTCATGGTAGCCTTGGGCCCCACCCCCTCCTGTGGGCCCGCTGGTTTTGCAGGCTAGCTCGCCGACCGGAACCCCATATATATATATACACACTTGTTTTTTCTGGCCCAGGTATTGGGTTGAGCATTGAATATTGACTTGCTGGTTCTTGGGGAGATTTGGGAATGACCGACTGACCCCAAGCTGATTTGCGTCCAAGTGGTGGTTTCCTGCGGAGCCGTGGATTGATTCCCCGCTGAGAAGTAGCAAGTGAAGGCTGCCTTACTCACCACAGGAGCAGATTAATATTGGACACACAAGCTATTGGTATCTCAATCGGTTCATGTGGGATGATTGGTAGCCTTTCACAATGCAAGCAATGGACATCGGGAGTACGCGTGAGTCATTTTTGTGGGGGTTGGATCCATACTTTACAAGCGCTACATGTCCGCACGTCTCGCAAGCAAGCAGACTGTCCTGGCGGAACCCTCAATCAGAAAACGTTTGGAGCTAGTGGTGTTCCTTTACGGACATCCCTTCTGGGCAAAGTATTGCGACGTTACTAGGGGGTTTGTGACATCAATCATACTGAAGATTCCTTCCCTGTAAAAAGTCCTGTAGTAGCATTTCATAGGCAGCCGCATAGTTTCATAGATTCCGTGTAGAAATTCCTCGAACATGATAAATCTCATGGAAACTCGCAGACATTTATAGAAACTCTGAGAAATGTCCAATCGAACTTCCCTGTTTCTGGTGCTCTGGGACTGACCTTCCAGATTTGGGGAATGATGTGGTTTTGGGTGGCTTCCAGCCACAGGTGACCTTCATCATTAGACAAGGTATACCTTGAGTTGCTAGGTCCCCCAGTAGTGCCCGGTGACCCTTTTTTGGGGGAGGGTTCCCCTACTAGAATAGACTGCAGAAAAAAGGTTGGTACCCATATTCTAACCTGTCTACTGGAGGGCCTAGCCTTGAGTTATTATCTTTGTTGTGTCCAGCCCAGCGGGTCACAGCTGGTTAGGGCCTCCTGTCCAAACCACGGCGCATTTTTTCCGAGCCACCCAACCTTCTATTTGTCTAAGAATATGTTTTTCACTTCCCTTGTTAGTTTTCAAGGGAATCGATCACTACTGGACAGATTTCTTCATTTTTCCAGACGAAGCAGCAAATGGAAGCAACGGTCAGGAGGGCGCCTCGGTGGAGCAAGTGGACGCCGCCGCGGTGAAGTTTGGTATGGCCATGGGCCCTATGGCCTTGGGCGATCTCGTGGGCCAGGACCGCTTCGGGTGGGGGGTGGGGGTTGGGGGTGGGGTGGGGTGGGGGAAGGAGTGGGGGGTGGGGTGGGGTGGGGGGTGGGGTGGGGGGTGGGGTGGGGTGGGGGGTGGGGTGGGCGGTGGGGTGGGATGGGGGAAGGAGTGGGGGGTGGGCGGTGGGGGTAGGGGGCGTCGTTTTGAAGGTCGCTTTGTCAGGATGAAAAGGAGAACCTGAAAAGGAAGAACAGAATTAGGTACATCTGGTTTCATGAAACTGGGTGTTAACAGATTGAGTGTGCCATGGTAAGACCGGTTCCTGTTCAAAGGTCATCCTTAATCCATACCTTCCTTTAAGCAACCCTTTGTAGTGGCTTGGATTGCGGATTCGGATTGGCCAACCCTCCATTTTGAAAAGCCATGATACGTCCTGTTCCTCTACTGGCAGGTTAGGGATGGTCATCCTGGTAAGGATCCTCGACCAGCAGGATTCCTATGTGGAGAACCATGCCCAACCGTCCATAAAAGGAAGGAGTTTTGACCAGTTACCCACTTTGTAGACGCTTTCGATCTGATGCTTGATCAGCGCAAGTCCTTTGCATGGTCAGTGCATGAAGAGGAGCGTGCTGAGCTCCGAACAGCCGGGTTCCGCATTGCACAGGGGGAACGCAGTTTGGGAGCGCACATGCAGTTCACATACAAGCATACAAACTCCACGCAGAAGGCCAGATTTGCAGCTTTGAAAGACATGTGGGTGCTCTTGCGCCGAAGTAGTGCCGTGTATCGAGACAAAGTCACAGCAGTCCGGGTAGCAGCATGGCCACGTGCAATGTATGGTATCAGCATAGTGTCAATGCCTGCGAATGCCTTCCAAACTTTGCGCAGCGGCGCCATGCGTGGGCTCCGGGCTGATTTGAGCGGAGCACACCCAGGGGTGCATCTGTCATTGGTGGAGCAGCCCATGCTGGATCCGGGGTTTCAGGCCTTGTGGTGGTCAGTGATGGACTTCCGTAAGTTCGCCAACATGGCCTCTGCTCAGGAGCAACTTGTTGACCCGGAACACCCCCCGGTAGGGGGACCTTTGGCTGCCCTGGTTGAGCTAGCAAAATGGGGGCAATCCCAATGCCTATGCATGACATCCTCCTGTCCACACCACGTGCAGTGAGACTCCACCTCCAGAAACTTGCTGAGCTTATCATTCGTGAAAAACGTGCCATTCATGGCCCGGCGCATGATGGCCTGCTGCGTATCCGGCCACTTGCTCCACTGAGCTCTACTTTCCTGCCAGTCTACAGTTTGCAGGCCAGCAAAAGACTCACGCGCTGATGCTTGATGCCCAATCATCCGCGTCCACACCCGCTGCAGACGCAGCCGAACATGCTGTATGGGACTCAAGACCATGTGAAAGCTACTGACATCATCCTCCACCATCAGGTGCCTCGGTCCCGAGAGACATTGCAAATGCTGTTGACACCCTGCCCAGCTGTATGGCATCGCATGGCTGGGTGCAGGAAGTTGCTAGTAAACGTTCGTACTGGCGGAGCCTTGAAGCCATCCCAGACCGAACTGGTCAGTGGCAACCATGCATACCCCCAGGGCAATGCCTGGACATCTTCACAGATGGCACGGCCAGTGACCCTCGTGACCCAGCACTCAGGCTCGCCGCGTGGGCAGCCATCCTTGTGAGTGGGCCAGCTAGTGAACATAGCTTGCCGTTAGCCATGGGACCTGTGCCAGGCGTGCTCCAAACCGTTTTGCGTGCGGAGCTGCTGGCAGCTATTGCTGCAGTGAAGCATGCCTGCTGGGTTAAGAAGCCGGTGCGCATTTGGGTGGATAATCAGCAGGTGTATGACGGGCTTCTCAAACAAGTTGCAGGTGGTCATGAAGTAGCCCACTGTGCCAAAGACGCAGATCTGTGGCTGCAACTGCAGGATGCTTGGGGAGGACCTCAGTGAGCCTGTCCGGTCAAAGTGGTGTCTGAAGTTGAAAAATGGGCTGCCAGGCATAATGCCACCGTGGACAGGTGTCACAAATCAGGATCGCCCAGCTGACTTCAAGCGGCTCTACAATCAGTACCGTGCCCAGCTAGTCTTTTCCCGTAGGCAGCGTGATGCCATTCAGGCAGTGATCCGTGATGTGGGGGAAGCTTCCGTGCAGGCAAAGCAGGATGGAGTGGCAGCTAGCCGGCATGTTGCCAAGCAGCCATACCAGCCCAGTATCCCATGCCCGGCAGTGGAAATGCCAAATAATGATCATGGTCCTGGAGACCAGCTTGGTCAGAAGTATGGGCCGCAGCTCACCAGCCTCATGTGTGCTTGGATCCGCGCAGCGTGGGATCCCAGTAGTCCTTGTAAATGGGTGAGTGCCCTTCAGCTGGCAGTTGATTTCCAAATGGCCACAGGAGTGCCAGGCCCGATCTGGCACGCAGAGAATGTGGTCTGGCTTGATCCCATCGCCAGGCCACAAGCATGCATGCTTCCCACTGACTCATGCCAGCGGGTGAGCTGGTTCAAGCGAATGCTTGCAGAAGTGGTGCAGGCCTGGGGCCTCGCTTTACCTGCCATGGTGACTAGGCCGTGTAGTGCGGCCTTGCTCATGTACACGCCATGTGTGGCCTGGCGTATGCCCAATCAGAGGCATACGCGTGTGGAGGAGTGGCTGCGATCAGCCCTACCCAGAGGTGCAGCCCGGCGCCCGAGGGAAGCCCGTTTGCGCCCGTTTGCTCCCAGTAGCGCCCGCCACCGAAGGGATGGCAGTTGCCAAACCTAAGGTGGGTCTGAGGCGCTACTGGTGAGCTTTTGTTTTACCCTGCTGCTCACGCCAATCTGGCCGGGGCAGACACAGGAACAAAGGAGAACAAAGGAGTTTTGACCATGGCACAGATGACAATTTGGAAGTTCTCAAAGCGACCTGTTGGTCCATAGTCAAGATCCCAAAGGATAGCCTGTTGCTTCTGAATCCTTGGGGCAAGTGAGAGTTTCTCAAAATGTTGGACCTTTGGACGGTTCAGAGATTCATGTCCACTTTTGAGTACCCTTCTTTAGTTGCGTTGAGAGGGGGAAAGCCATGTGGAAGGTTCTCAAAACGTTGTACCCCCTCTTGGCTTGTTATTAAAGGGAAACCAAAAGGACGCCAACCATGAGAAACGGACCGCATCCTATGTTGAGCACTTCCGTTTTCTTACTCCCCAAGTTCCTGGACTCTAGTCACTTTTGGGGTCTGGACATCTTATCTCATGCTCGAATATTACTCAACCTTCACGAAATATTGTTAACAGTATACTAAGACTGAATCATGGCTAGAATGCATTTTGCTCAAAGGTGCGGACCTTATGAATCGTTATATAGAAGGCTGTTGATTTGCCTTTTGCGTGGGTTTTTGCAGCTGATCAAATTAATCGCAGATAGATTTTGTGAAAAGAACCACCTCCTTCTTGATCAAGAAATTCGATCCATTTGGCCAACAATCTAAGGTTTTCTTACATGAGTCTTGGGCCACCTTTTAGCTTCTCTGCATGGAGAACTCTCATAAGTAAGCTAGCACCATCGTGTTGGAGATTGTCATTACCGGTGGTATGAATAGTCCTGTTGGTTCAAGCTTCACCGAAAGCGGAGATACATTCTGCAGCGGAGCTTTCTTTGATCTGTATGGTCCGGTGATAGTGCAGTGAAAACGGACGGAAGTGCGGCGTAATCGTCTGCACGTGCTTCCATACTACGTGCAGATCCTCCAGGTCCACCATGGTTTATATTCTCGAACGATTTCTCCGTTTACATCATATTTCACAATACCTTAACCCTCCGATGCAGAGTTTTCACGTCTGGGGCGGCAATTCATCACAACTTGACGATCATTGGCAAAGACCTCGATCAAAGCCACATCGAAAAGTATCCTCAACTTCAAAGGTTCGCCCTGGCTTTAGAGTAAGATCGGCAAGATAGATTCATCTAAAGAAGATATTTTTTGTCCAAAGAACTAACTGCCGTTGCATAACGATTTAATAATTTCGAATTATCCAAGTCTTTATGGAAAGCTTAATTGTGGGACAACTGTAACTCTTGAAGATGATAGAGAAGTGAATGGCCTGAATCATGTCGGCTTCTTACCATCTTTTATGCCAAGATCCCGTGTTTGTTTTTTGAGTTTGAGTCAACTTCATACTCAAATAATCTGATGCCCAAAGTGAGCAGTGAGTTTAGGTATTCTGCTTCAGAACAGTTGAATGTAGTCATGATGTTCAAAGGTCTTTAGCACAAACAGTTTCGACTTGTTTGGCCAATCCACTCAGTGACTCAGGAAGCCCTGAACAAAAACGTTGGTGCATTTTGCCCAAGGGATGTTAGGACTGAACAACTGTTTGCTTGCTCATGGGTTTTCCATATTAAGCCACAAAGCAGTTAGTCTCTTTTAGCAGGGGAGCAGATGTCGCAACCGAGGAGCAGAATATATGTTATTTTCCCTTGTTGGTTTTAAAAGGAATGTATCACTACTGGACATATTTGCTCATTTTTTCCATGGGGTCTTAACCAAATGGAAGAAACACATATTGTGCGCAGCTCGAACATGAAACGTGAAGAACTCGCTGCGGACCTGTGTCAGATCCTTTTGGCTGCGCGAACTCTCATTAAACGTGAAGCCTCGCAGCTTGTGGCCCTACCTCTCTGTTGCCCGGTGGCGCCCTAAGTTCAACTTCTTTTGGGTAAGCGGTCCCCTTCAAACTCAACCAAAAAGGGTCAGTGGCGCCAATTCTTCTTTCAACTTTTTTGGGGTAAGAGGTGCCCTTTAAACTCAACCAACCAAACAGGGGCGCCGATTCTTGTTTTTCCCATGGAAATCCACTGGGCATTTGAGGGATGATACTTAGTCTCGTACAAAATGGGGGTCAAGTAGGTGCACCACGTATTTTAGTCTATTCTAGTGGGGATTGGGATGTTCACAGGGGGTACGATTTGGATTTTGACCCATGACCAAATGAGTGTGGTAGAACCATGGTCGCGGGCCCGATCTCAAGGCTTGGTTGGGCGCCTGTGTTGGGGCGTCCCCTCTTGGGGGCCTGACTCAGCTCGGGTGGGCGCATCTCGGATAGGGTCCACCGGCGAAACCGTGACCTCCAGAGGCAAACGGGGTGCATATACCCTTCATGCATGCGTGCGTGCGTACGTACGTACGTACATACATACGTACATACGCAGGTATATATACATATAGAGCAGATATATATGGTGTATAGCAAAACATGGTTTGGACAATTCAATCGCCAGGAGATCTTCTGGAAGCAGCGCAAGGCGGCCAACGACATGAAGAAGCAGACCAAGACCTACTATGGGCCCTACGAGCTTACAGACGCCATGGCAACAACCGGTCCCGTCCGTAGCCCCTCACGCACCCCCCAAACAAAAAGGTTGTGGACATGAGAACATGCAATCCTCGAAGGGTGCTGAGTTATTGTGTTTTGCTGTTTGGTGGTTTGAGCATCACCGTGTTGGCCAGTTCGAAGCTGACTGTCTCGCTGTGTTCTTTTTTGTTTCACCCAAGGGCCCGGACCTGTTGGTTGGTGGAACAATTCAGACAGGGGGCGGTTTTTGTTATTAGGGGGAAGTGTTTTGTGTTTCATATTGTGGAACAAACACCTGCTCAGGCTGGTAGGTGGTGTATCCCATTATTAAGTGGTGCGAAATGGAAAACTCGTCCGCCCACAGGTGACCTTCATCATTAGACAACTATACCTTGAGTTGTTGTCTTACCCCCTACACCCAATAACCAACTTTTTCAGGGTATGATGTCGCCCCTCTACTAAAAAAGGAGGTATTTAGCATGGAAACTCAGGTTGTCCAAAAAATCCCTAGAAAACGTGGGTATCTGCAGTAGGGGGTAGTTGTTGTGTCCAGCCCAGAGGGTCACAACCGGTTAGGGCCTCTTGTCCAAACCACTTCAGCATTTCTTCGCCACGCTCGTCAAACGGCGAAACGGAGAGTTGGGATATTTTGTCCACAGATGTCCGAAGCATTCGGCCAAATTGTGGAGAGCCACCTGGTAGGGTACTTACAACATGGATCCCAACAAACCATCATGTTTGGCCAGGGCTCCTTAAGAGAAACTCATTTTGCAACCATTTGAAACATGTTGCTTTTTCAACACCAAAACAAAGGGAAACCACCATTTACAAGGCAATGTTCAGGTGTATAATAAAAGGATCCCTGTTGGAATCTCCTGTTAGGCTCGACCCCTGTTTGGGGTTCAATACTAACTTTCAGCGGCATGTTGGGTGAAAGTGGATGGCACAATTTCCCCATTGTTTAGTCATGCCCCTGCCAAGAGAATCGTGCCAACTACTTTCACCCGGCGTACAAGAACTTGGGTCATTTTGACTTCGGGAGCCCAGCATTTACTAGGTCTTCCAGTAGTGCCCTTCTCTCCCCTTTTTTGTTGGGAGGGTTCCCCTAAAATAGAAAACCAACAAAAAAAGAAAAATAATGTTGGTGCCCTTATTCTAGCCTCTCAACTCTGGACCTAGCATTTAGGTTGTTTTTTTGTTGGTTTCGTTTGCAAACGTGCAGGAGTTCTTGGGTCATTTGTGCAGCCCAGAATTTGGGGTGGTTTCCTGTTGGTTTTTTTTGAAAACCCATCCAAGGGGCTCCAAGTCTCCTATTTGGACCATCCTTCCCCCCCCCCCTCCCTCCCAAGGACTGGCTGTGCGAGCAGGGCCGTTTTGGGTTGAAGACCCCGGATCCCAAGATCAAGGTGCGGGGCCCGGTCTTTTGTTGTGCATTTTTGATATCTCTATATATACATATATATATATATATATACAGGGCTCCTTAAACTAAATTCATTTTGCAACCATTTGAAGCATGTTGCTTTTTCAACACCAAAATAAAGGGACACCACCATTTACAAGTTGCAATGTTCAGGTGTATAGTGTAAGGAATATACATCTTGTCAGCAGAGAGATTTCCCCCTTGGAGAAACCTGGCAAGTGGGGGTCAGAATCTGAAAAACACAATGCCTGTAACTCCCTGAAGTGGGTTGTAGCCAAGCCCCGACTTAGTACTTAGGAAGTCTTACTTCCAACGAGTTCCGGTTCGAATTTTTGGCCACGTTGTGGGAAGACGGACCTTTTCGGTGGTCCACTTAGGAAGCTTAGCGAGGGTTATAACCTGATCATGTCTGTAATTCCCTTAAGGTTAAAGCAAGGGATACTCACCTCTTAAGTAGTAGTAACTTAGCACCCTGCCCCTTTCGAGTAATGTTGACCCAGGATTAATAAACCCGTCCCACTATTAGGGGGGGTTCCCTCCAAAAGTGGTCTGAATCCCCACTAAAAGGGGACACCCCCTATTAATCAACCAGGGGTTTATGTATCCCTGTCTGGTTTTTCACATCACCAGTTGGGTCAATTTGAAGTGACGCCTTGGCGCCTTGTGATAGGGGAAATGTAGGATCCCTGATTTGAGGATGTAGGAATTCCTTGATATAGGGATTTCTGATTCTAGGATGTTTTGTTTTAGGAATCCCTTGATTTTAGGAAGTCGTAGTAAGCGCTATTTTGTAAGTGCTATTTGTAAGCTAGGTCCCCCAATAGCGCCCTTTTCTTATTTTTTGTGGGAGGGTTCCCCTACTAAAATAGACTACAGAAAAAAATGGTACCCTTATTGCAGCTTCTCTACTGGAGGACCTAGTTGCTAGAGCAATGGATGTGTGGCGCTGCTCAAATTCGGATAATTTGGGGACTGTTGACGCCGTCGGCTGGGAAGTTCACGGCGCTCGCTCGCTGGTGTAGTTGTACCTTTTGCTCGCTCGCTCACTTGCTTGTGCGTGTGTTGTTTGTATTGTTTGTGTTGTTTGTGTTGTTTGTGTTGTTTGCTTGCTTGTTTGTTTGTTTGTTTGTTTGTTTGTTTGTTTGTTTGTTTGTTTGTTTTGTTGTTTGTTTGTTTGTTTTGTTTGTTTGCTTGCTTGCTTGCTTGCTTGCTTGCTTGCTTGGTTGCTTGATCAGTCGTTTGATTGGTTGTGTTTTTGGATGCTGCGTTTTGGGGTTTTGTGGCGCCATTTGCTAGCGGAAATCACTGTAGCAGCCTGACAGGCACTGGCTCGGCACGAGTTGCCATCGGCACTAGCGCCTGCTCAGCGGGTTTATCAGCATGTCACCGGGGTAGACTTAGGATACATTTTACATTTTACCAGTGATTCAAAGTGAAGCAAACAATATAATATACATTCTACAACTGGGCCTAACTCTAATCATGGTTATGTTACTCCGGTTTTAACTTGGGTCTATTTAGGCGGCTCGTCATACTTCAGTTAGATGCTGGCCATCAAAGTGCGTGTTCTAGACAGGCTTTTTTCTCAAACGTCTAATGCTTTACATTATATAGGTACTAAAAAGCAAACTTGAGATTGCAGCTGCTGTTCAAAGAGCAAAGGTACGCCAGCACGAGCCCCACTTCCTTGAAGGATTGCTATCATTGGGTTTGGTAGTTACACGACTTGACCCTCGCAGTATGGTTGGTTGGTTTAAAAGGCAAACCAACATGAACCAACCATAAGTTGGCGTCCCCTAGTTTGAGACCCAAAGGATGTGAACAGTTTGTCTGGGAAATGTAATGACCTTTTTTTCGGAGCAGTCTGTAGCAGCCTATATGGGTGTGTTTCGACTTGGGAAGCCTGTTTGCGGAGAAAAGGCTTTTTTGATCTCTGAATCCTTGCACCTGTACCAGTTTCTCGCAGCGAGTTTCAAGGTTGGCAAATGACCGTTTTAAACAGAACCTAGATCAATCATTCGACACACGTAACACATTGCCACATGTTCGCGGAGAACCACACACCCATTTCAGGCGAACGGCCGCGGCATTTTCATCCACCGCGGCAGGGACAAGATGGTGGATCCTGAGGCGGAGTTCCCGGTTTGTGGGTGCGTCCCAAACATTGGGGGTTTGTGGCGTTTATCTCACTCCCGAAGGTCCTTGACCTTGCATGTTTTGGGAAGACCACTTCTAGGCCCCCCAGTAGTGCCCTTTCTCACCCGTTTTTGGGGGAGGGTTCCCGTACTAAAATCTACTACAGAAAAAGTTGGTACTCTTATTCTAACCTCTCTGTCTACTGGAGGATCTAGACTTTGACGGCAACATTTTGGCATGCTTTTGACCAGTCTGAGTTATTGTTGACCAACAGAATTGAGCCGCTTCCGCATGTTTTCTCGGGTGAACGTGAGCAACGACCCATTTTTGGCGTGGCTTCTGCGCTGTGTGTGCTTAGGATTTATCAGAAAGGGCCCAACATCTTCAAGCAGTTGATTGCCTGGTTCGTAACTATTCCAAGGCCGGAGTACCGACCGCCACTATGAATCAAGGTAACCCAAAAGCGCCCCGACGAAGGTAGCGCAGTGTATTGGTTCATTTTCTAGCCATTTCTCAGGTTCCATTCCAGATGATGCTCGGTCAAAGTATCAGCAGTTTGTGGTCTACAGAGACTAGGTTCCCCAGTAGTGCCCTTTCTCACCCGTTTTTGGGGGAGGGTTCCCCTACTAAAATAGACTACCGAAAAAAGTTGGTACCCTTATTCTAACCTCTCTACTGGAGGACCTAGGCGAGGTTTTGCCCGCGGCTTGTTTCTTCTTTTTTGGGGCCTCGAACAAATCAATTCAATGAGGTTCGGAGCTGGCAGACGTAAAAAAAAAGAGGTGCAAGGTTTGCCACGGAAGGGAAACGAAAAGGAGTCTGAAAACCTTGTGGGCCGCAGACAGGATGGGTTTATTTGTGTGTGTTCTGTTTTTTGGGGATCCCTCCAAAAGGGTGGTTTTCCGTTTGGTTTCCCTTTAAGAAAAGTAGGGGGTCCCTCGCAAAGGAAATCCCCAAAGAAAAATTCTACAGGAGGGATTCCGGTTTCGCTTCTCCGGCCCAAGTCGGCCGGTTGTTCGTGAAGCATTTAGCAACACCTGGCGAGGTTCCTTCGTGGTTTTCTTGCCCCAGTTTGCCCCTATTTGGGGCTTCAGCTATTTGCTGGTTGAAACATTTCGGTGTGTGTTTTTTTTGGGGGACCCGTTGTTTTCCTTTTGGTTGTCCTTGAGAAAGAACAAGCATGGGTTACCCGCGGAAAATAATAATAATATATATTTAAAACCAAAAAACAAAACTAAAAAAAACCAACTCCCAAATTTTGTTGGGTTGTTTCCCCCCAGTGTATCTAAAGGCCCTTCAGGGAAGGGCTGCCAGACAAAGGACCCCGCAGGAAGGGCCGTTCTGTTTTCAATGCTTTTCGGGTCTTGTTGGAGCCCGCTCAATCCTATCCGGTTTTGTGGATTTCAAGCTGAAAGACCGTTTCTCACTTAGCCTACCGAAATGCACTCAACTACAGCTTTCTGCTCCCTGCGACTCAAGCGCATGCGAAGCTCGAATCACCGTGTACTTAAGAGTGTTGCTAGCTATTTTGTGTGTGTGTGTGTCAACCCGGCCACATAGTGGTGCTCCTTGCTTTGCCGAACCCGCCATTCACGCTAAATCATGCTAATGTCACGCTCTGGAGGGTCCTTTCACGCGCTCCGAATTCTTGCTCGCCGACTTGGCAACTGTATTTTTCCAAACCACGTCATTGCCATAGTAAGATGCAACAGATGATGCCCTTGTCTTTGCGTTTCTCCAATTAGACCTGTATGCCGGAGTAGTGTCGTGATTCGGACTTTCATTTTGCGCCTTGCCCCAAGTGCCCGGTTTCGAGCGCAGGCCTCAAACCTCATTGTCATCAACCTTTCCAAGGAGTCAATTGCAAAGTTCATGAAGCGCATAATTTCCGCCGGCGTGGTAAGCCTGCATGGCATGGCCAGCAAAGCATGCGCACACACACACACACCTTCCAGGAGGTCCTTTGTAAAGGACCCTCCTGGGAGGGCCGTTGACAGACTGGGTCCCTTCTTATAGAGTGTAAGTCTGAGCATGCCAGTATGCATTCGGGCCGGTATGGACCCAGAACTCGTGTCCGCAACTCGAGAATTCTCGGGCGGTGTTTAAAGGGTTTCCCGTTGGTTGAGTCATGGACCCCAAAGGCGATCACCAAGCTATGTCTAGTTTCCCTTGGCACCGGTTCAAAGCGGCGACTGGCAGGTGGTCGCCAAGCTCGACGAGGTGCGGAAGATGAAGGGAATGGTCCCGAGGCAAGTCACCGACGAGGAGGGCCATGGGCGACATATGGGGGTGGCCACGGACGAAAGACCATTCGAGGTCTGGGCAAATTTCCGGAGGCTCGGAAGATATGCGTGGATTCTGTTGAGGATGTTTACGTTGATTTCACTCTTGGCATGCGTTGTTGTTGTTTGGCACGGATTGTGGGATCAAGGGTGGTACAAAGGAATCCCCCCCCCCTGATAGGGGGGGTTAGTCTTTGGGAAACCCTTGTATCAAAGAAGTGGATTCCATTTCCAACAGCCCTGTTGCGTGTGGGTGACAGCAAGCTGCAAAACCAGTCGTTTTCTCACGTGCCGAGGGTTGGAAAGTTAAGCAAAGAGAGGCCATAATCCGAAGGTGGGCCAGGGGGCGATCGTGCAGGGGCAAGTGGTCAACCGTCATGGGAATTAGCAGGTGAGTTACGTCCCGCTAAGCAGTCTTCCCGAATGTTGTAAGCCATTTGGTTGCGGAAAGTTCCTTTTCCAGAAAGGAACCCATACGCGCATGCACACTTTCTGGGTAAACCAAAGCGTCCTCTTGTTCTGGGCCAATTGCTTGATTCCGTTTGGGCGTGTTTCTGGAATTGGCGCTTTCATTTGCGAAAGGTGAGGTAATATTATTGTTGTCCAGTTGGCAGGGTGACATGGTCATGCTTGGTCAGCCATAGTGGCGGCAACGCACATGTACATTGTTTGGCCCACTTGGAAAAGTGGCTCAAGTGGAAGTACATGTTTTGTTGTTTGGGGTGTGCCTTAATTAGTTGGGAGATACTCAGTTGCCCAAAGCCGACCTTAGAACCTTTTTGGTTTTTCATGTTTGGTCTATTTTTGGAAAAGGTCCCAAAAGGTCAACTGTTTGTTCCTAGGTCCGGGCAACTTAGCATTGTACTGGGCGACCCCCCTGCAAGTTAGCATGGAACCCCACAAAGGCGCGGAGATTTCCCAAGTGCAGATGCCTTCACATCGAAGTTTGTTGGGCTCCTTCCGTTCATTTGCAGAGGATCGGCCCGTATAGTAGACCATTCAGATAATGTTTGAAGGGGTCCCTTGGTAGCCTACAAGAAGCTCGATCCTCTGGGCGGACTTGGTTACCCTGCTCTCCATCGAGCTTGGCGATTCGCCATAGGCTTCCTGAGACTTTTCAACTTGCGTTTCATTTGGCCTCCAGCAAGGGATCGACTCAGGGATCGGCGACTTGCAGCCTAGCAGCTGGTTCGCTGGTCAGCTCACTCCCTAAGTTGGACTTTAAAAATTGGTTTGGGAAGACCCATCTTAGCGGCCAACCAAAATGTCCACCCAGGAAGTCCGGTGTGGCAAGCTTTCTTAGGGCTACCCCCATGGTTGGAAGGGCCACTGACCAGAAATCCAAGAGGAACCATCAAAGTATGTCTGCTGGTCGGAAACGACTTTGAGTGCCGGAGGTCCCCATGTCGAAAACGTGTTGCGCCAGCCTTCTGTGCGAGCGTTCGGCGGGGCCGTCGGAGGAGATTGTGGAGCGGCTCTTTTATCCGCTGATCAACGAGGGCTTCAAGATCCTAGAGGAGGGCGTTCCGGCTGCACCGAGTCCCAAAACAACATACTGGTCGTTTCCCCACACAAATGCTGGTTCGTGATGTGTTGTGTTTGTTTTGAATGGACACCACCGGTAAGTTGATCCCTTTTTACTTTATGGCGACGTGGCAGCATATGAGTGCCTGCCCGACAAAACTACCGACAATGGACTTAAAGCAAAACTGGATTTCGGTTTTTGGCAAAACATCTAAAACATGCATAACCGATAGGGGACGCCCCAAAGACCGATACCCCTAAGCATGATGCCTTACATCTTAGGAGGGAAAATACACCACGGTCCAACCGATACCCAACCGATACCCCAACCGATACCCTTTCCTGTTGAATGTGAACACTCGCCCATTGGCCATGAAAAGCATCTTTGTTTCGTGTTGTCTTAGCAACTAGATATCGTGGCGCAGTGTGCTGTTCCAAGCGCCAGTGGCAAGAAGCGCGCAAGCGTGCATTTGTACGAGCCTTTGGCTCAAACTGGCCCGAAGCAGCGCATGAGGCACGTGAACACGCTGGAGTTGCGGAAGTCTGAAGTGTACTTGTACTACAGCTGGAGCTGCAGCTGCGGAAGTTTACTTCGTGTACTACACTTGTACTATAAGGTTTCGATTTTCGAGCTGGAGCTACGGAAGAGTACTTCGTGTAGTGCACTTGTATTACAAAGTGGGGATTTTCTTGCTGGAGCAGCGGAAGTGCACTTCGCGTACTACAAAGTTGGCATTTTCGAGCTGGAGCTGTGGAAGTGTACTTCGCGTACTACACTTGTACTACAAAGTTTGGATTTTCGAGCTGGAGCTGCGGAAGCGGACTTCGCGTACTAGAAAGTTGCGATTTTCGAGCTGGAGCTGAGGAAATGCACTTCCGCGTGCTACACTTGCACTACACTTATCCTTTTCCTCCTCCTTCTCCTTCTTCTTCTTTCTTGTTTCTCCACCTCTCTCCTTTCCACTGCTGTCTTTTCCACGTTAGCGTGAGCTTGCGCATCATGCGCAGCGCAAAACACTGATAACCGATAGGGGACGCCCCAAATGACCGATGTCCTTTTCCAGTACCAGGAGTTTTGTCCGTCGCTCATATGTTTGGACTTGTTTTCTTTTTCGTTGAAGCTGAAAACGGATGTTCCGTATTGGACCCACAAAGCCTTTTTGCACGTTTTGCGGAGGGGTCAACAGCAACCAAGATTTTAGTGGGTGGTTCTACCTGGTTTGATTGGGGGCATTCTAGTAAAGAGTTCTCCATACTCCAATGCTGTCGTAGTTCCAGGAGTTAGGCCTCTAGTACGATTCTGCACCGGTATTGGCGCTTGTTTTTTTTGTTTCTCCGGGTGAGGGAGACACCTGTAGATCAATAGTCTTCCACCCTTTGTTCTGTGTAATCAAATTGAAACCAAACGGAAGCCATCATTTTGAAAACCCCCCACCCCAAAAAAAAACATATACACCTGCAAGTGAGTCCGGGTTTGGGGCAAAAGGCGGCGGCCAGGTTTCTTGGGTGCTTGTCTTGATTTTGGGTGACCCCCAAAATGGATTCGACTTTTCTATTAGATTCTCTGTAAACCAACCTGACAAGGGTAGCCTCAACAAACCTATACGTACGTATATATATATATACAATATATATATATATATATATCTATACAGTGCATAGGTATATGTAAGGGGAACCCCCCCAAAAAAAACAACAACACAAAAAGAGGGTGTTTGCTGTTGGTTTCCAGAAGCTTCCATTGAACAGAATAACAACCGGCTTGCTTACACACGCGAGTTCCTATTGCCTAAACCATTTGTGGGTTTGTTTCCCTCAGGCCACCAGTCCGCCAGCGAAATGTGTAAAGCCCACAGTCCACTGTACAGGGAAACCAAACAGGGATTGGGAAACTCAAAGGACACCAACAGAGATGGGGTGTGTCTTTAAATCGGGGAGCCCACAAAATCGGACACTTGTGGTTTTCCTGTAAGGTTTCCCTGAAACGCCAACAGGGCTCCTTAAAAGATACATGTTGCCCATTTGGAACATGGCGTTTTCCACCAAATTAAAGGGAAACCACCATTTGCAAGGCAATGTTCAGGTGTATAATGTAAGGATCCCTGCTAAAGAGGGGTTGCTGTGTTTTGTTTGCCTATTTGATGATGAGCGCTGGGGAAAGCACAAAAACACCATGACCAAGATTTGTGGCCTTAATGCGGAGGGTGTGCCTGCCATTCATATCGAAACAAGAGTATCGTTCCCCCCCCCCCCCCTTGCCTATGCGAGAAGTGTCCCCCTTTGAAATCTACCAACCCGAAACCGAAATAGGGTATGGTTTTACTTTGTCGCAGTTGTTTGTGTTTTGTTCAAGATTGATTGCCCTTTAGATTCAGATTGAACCCATGTTGAACTGTTGGGCAAGGACATCTTTCCAAAAAAACATAACTTCATTATCATCAGCATGTGGTTTTACTTGCTGGTGGGGTATGCAAAAGCTACTTTGTGCTATAACATGAGGAGCTGAGGTTGTTCACTTGGGTGACCTTGATGATGGTGGAATAGTGCTCACTCCCTGAGTTTCTGGATTTGATATTCTTTGGGAAGGCCAGTAAGGAGGCAAACAACAGTTTGGGCTGGTTTGGGCACCCCACTCAAAGGAGAATGTGGCATTGCCAGACTAAGCTTACCTCGACTTCTTGTCGTGGCGTTGAAACAAGTCTCGACTTTTGGGGGGTCTCAGTCTAAGTGTTGGGAAGCGGGGAAAGAACTAACATTGGGTGTCTTTCCTAGGGGAACCCCCCCAAAATGGTGCAACGGTTTTTCTTTTGGTTTCCCTTCAAACCAGCCCCAAAAGGGTTACTCTTCCAAAAAAAGAGAGAGAGACACGCCCAGTTCCTGTCGCGAAGATGGCTTCGGTGGTCCTTTTGGTTTCCCTTCAAAACCCCGAAAAATCAACCAGTAGGTGTCTTTCACGGGGGAACCCACCCCAAAATGGCTTTGGTGTTCCTTTGGGGTCCTTCCGGTTTCTCTTCAAAACCCCAAAAAGGTACCAACTCCAAAGACGAGCCGATGGCGTCTTTCCCATCCGAGGCTACGTGGCGAGGAGCTCGGACATCGACCTGGCGTACATCTACGGCTATGGGTTCCCACCCTCCAAGGGTGGGCCCATGCGACTTGGAGCGGGGAGGTTGTGCCATTTTAAGAAGATTTTCCATTTGCCCCTGTTGGTTTTAAGGGGTTTTCCATTTTCCCCTGTTGGTTTACGGGGAATCTATCACTACTGGAAGTATTTCGAATTTTCCCAGGGGACGAAAAGGCAAATGGAGGGATTGGAGGGTTCAGCGCTTGGTGTCTTTTTTGAGGCTCGGAGCCCCGACCACAAAAGATCCGGGGTACCGGGGCGCAAAAAAAACAACAACAACACCCCACTGGGTGCTAAGGAACTCGTGCGTTTGGCGTAGGGTTCGAAGGTTTCAAAGGGATTTGCCTTGGGCATCTTCTTCGTGGCTGCAATTCGGCACGTTCACGGTGAGTTCTTCAGGGCTCGCGGTGAAGGAGGATCCTTTTCCATCTTGCTTGAGATATACCTGGAGCCATTTTTAGATACTGAAGGATGCTGAAGAAAATGCTTGACCATAAATCAAGGATCAGTTGAAAGGTGTGTTTTGTTTTGAGTGTACCCTTTTTGGGGGGTAAGCCAAGTTGGTAAATGGCCAACTCATATGTTCGCTTGGGTTTTTTGTTTGGTGTGAGGTACAGGGAGCCACGGGAGCTTCAAAGTTCTGGAGATCAAACTCTGTGAGACAAGCCGCTTCATTTCCCTAGACCTTGGGCACAAGTTGAGGTGAAAACCAGAAAAGGGATCCCGGGGGGAAAAACCAAAAAACGGACAGACTGGGGCAGGTGCGACAAAAAGGACCGTTCGCTTGGCTCAAGTGAAGCTCACTTCCTGACTTCCTGGCCTTGAGTCACTTTTTGGCAAACAACAACCTGGACCTTCCATTGTTACATAAATTTGTGTCACGAAAGAAAAATGCTCGGGGCAACTATTCTTGCCCAATGATCCAAAAAGTGCTCGTTCCCAAAAAAACGCTCGCTTCCTGAACACGGGTTTCTTGCAACATACTAATTCCTGGAGCACCCTTCGTTACCTAAATTTCTGCCCTTAGCCCAAACGTATTGCAAAACCAGGGGTCGTCACCAAAATACGGTAAATGTACTCTTTTTCCTGCTTCGAGCGTTTTTCCCAAAACTGGGCTGGTCGGTCCTCCAAGATGATCGGTCGCTGAATTTTTGAAAGGAGCGAGCAGAATTCGAAGTCCAAAACGAGCGCAAGTATCCGCAAAACGAGCACAAATATCCGCAAACGAGTGCAAATTCAAAAAGCGTAACAATGCCGGCCGTCCTCTGGATGGAAGAAGGGATTTGGTCGAGCGTTTTTCGGGGTGCGAGCGTTTTTGGTGGGGTCGAGCAGAAATCGGTAATTCGAGCGTTTTTTTCTCGTACCTAAAAAAAAGGGCACGTTGGGTGCCTCAGGTTGTTAAATATTTTGGATTTGCGCTCGTTTTGCGGGTATTTGCGCTCGTTTTGCGGGTATTTGCGCCCGTTTTGCGGGTATGTTTCCACATGTGTCCACGCAACAGACTACATGAGAAGAGAGAAGCCGCCGCAATAGCCAAAAATGCTCGAATCCAAATTTGTGCTCGTTCCCCCGAAAAACGCCCGACTAGCAAATTTCTGCTACGAAACACCCAAGGGGCACAAATTTATGTAATGAATGAAGGTCCAGGAAGTTTTGACTTATCCACTCGCTCGAAAGCAAAAAACCAATTGAGAGGTTCACCTGTGGTCATGCCACAACTGGACACATCAAAGTGTTTGGTTTTGGGGGAACACCACATGTAAGACTCCCAGAATCCCGAGCCATGCTGCGGTTTTCTTTCGATAGGATGAGTGTTGAAACCCGGGTGTTGAAAGGCATGTTATGACGCAGGACTCCTGAGATACTCGGCCATTCAACGAGAACAGGAAACTGCCATTTGGGAGGGGGGGGAGTGGGAAATGCTTCCTGAAACTCTTCAAAGGCCGCTTCCACTTGGATCATGTTGAATTGGTCCTTTCGAAGTGTTCGCTTAAAGCTTCCTGTGCCTGTTGAGCCTCGCCTAAAGCCAAAGCGCTCGAGACGGAGATCCGGAGATCCGGATCCCATGGAAGCCCCAAGCAGGGGACGCTTCCAGTTTTATGTTCTCTGTTTGAAGAGTCGCGGGTGAACAGGGGTCCCTCTATTTCCCTTTTTGGCTGTTTTAAACATCACCTTTTTGGCCCGTGAAAGGTGAGTATCCCTTGGTGGGGGTGATGTTTTAAGGGGAAACTTGTGTGAATAGTTCAACGGAAAACCCACAATTGTGGACATCATTTCGGTAAAGGATCATGTCTGGTCCGACTTCTTGAGGTTGTCGCTTACAACAAATAGCCACTTAAAGTTGCATTGCCAGACGGGAGCCTGCTTGCCCTTTGCTCCTTTTTCGCGCTTCCGTCGTTTTTGCCCTCTGAGCCACCAAAAAAAGCGCGCTTTTCGCGGGGGAAATCTGAACCACAACCAACATTCTTGTAGTGCCGCAAGAAGGTCGGCTCGGCGTTTCCTCCAATCCCTGAACCAATCAATTGGGGAAGCGGCTTTTTCAACCAGCTCCCCAGTGTATGCCTATAGGTTTCGAGCGATTAATTTCACCGATTCGGGGGTAAGCCGAGCAACCCATGATTGAGGTTCCTTCGGAATCCGACTCTGTTGTTGGAAACTTCGAATCTGCAGATGCTTCGTTTCAGGTTCCCACTTTCTGTGAGTTGTGGGTTTCCCCCCAGTAAAGGTGCAAGCCTTTTGGCCACCTTGACATCCCCAAACCGGGCTTCATCCCCAGCAGGAATCCTAGAACGCAGAGCCACTCGAGGTTCTTCGCGGAGAACTACACGGGTTTCAAGCAGCTCGCAGAGACTTCGGGAGTTCGTCGGACGCAGAAACGCTGCATCGAAAGGATGTGTGTGTTTTTTTGTTGAGGCTACCCGGGTTGTACATGCAGGGATTCCATGGAACCCTTTGGTGGCCTTCAGAGGATGATTTTAGGAATCCCTTGGTTTTGAGAGGTGCCCTTTCTTACCCCTTTTTTGGTTGGGAGGGTTTTCGTCTATTAAAATAGACTACAGAAAAAAGTTGGTACCCTTATTCTAACCTCTCTACTGGAGGACCTAGGTGTGTGTTTTTGGTTTGTTGGGTCGTACATGTAGATTCCATGGATTCCCCATTTCAAGATTCCCCCATGTGGGGCGGTTAAGGAATTGACAGGCCGCCAAGACAGCAAGTTGTTGGGAGCCATTTGAAAGGGACGCAGGCACTTTGGGCCTCATGGAAGTGGTTGGACCCATTCAGGGACCCTTTTGACATCCTTCAGGGGATTCATGCCCACCAATTTTGAGGTGGGTCCAACCCTTAAAGTTCACATCGTTGTGTGTGTGTTTTGACAAAAGGATCAACAAGGGGGTCCACGTACCCTTTCAATATTGTGTGTATGTGCGGGGGGGGGGGGGGGGTGTGTGTGTGTGTGTGTGTGTGTGTGTGTGTGTGTGTGTGTGTGTGTGTGTGTGTGTGCGTGTGCGTGTGCGTGTGCGTGTGCGTGTGCGTGTGCGTGTGCGTGTGCGTGTGCGTGTGCGTGTGCGTGTGCGTGTGCGTGTGCGTGTGCGTGCGTGTGCGTGTGCGTGTGCGTGTGCGTGTGCGTGTGCGTGTGCGTGTGCGTGTGCGTGTGCGTGTGCGTGTGCGTGTGCGTGTGCGTGTGCGTGTGCGTGTGCGTGTGTGTGTGTGTGTGTGTGTGTGTGTGTGTGTGTGTGTGTGAGAGTTTGTGATTGTGTTTGTGTGTGTGGGGGATCCCGTAGGTCAAGGAACCAGCTTGAGAGGGGCTGGTGTCTTTCTACGGGAAGCGGGAGGTTTTTTGCTGTTGTAGCGTAGTCGTTGCCTGAGGTCATGATAACGATGTTTAAGTGTCTGAAATTTTACTGCAGGAGTTCAGCAACATTACAATAATTGGGATTCCCGGATCATGTAGTTATTTGTAAGGGGTGTCCCCTTTGGGGATTCACTTGAGGGGAACACCTCTTTGGGACGGGATGTGGGAGTGTGATGGTGCGTCTTTTTGTTGAGCCTCGGTACCCCCGTCCACCTTGGGGTGGTCCACATTTCAACAAGGAACCACACCCATATTAATCCAACTCTCAGTTGCCCCAGCCGCGAATCGACCTTTTGACCTTTGGTTTCCCTGATTTGGTCCATATTTGGTCATGGCAACCCAACAAGGTGATCACCTTCTATTTCTGGGCCCATTTGGGGCAACTGAGCCTTTAACCAGCAGCTTTATAACTTTTCACAGGGATCTTGTCAGGGAAACCCACAAATTGAGCCACGGCCTCAAAACCAGATCGGGTAGATGATCCGGTTAGTAAGGGACAATCCTCTTGCCATAAATAGTTGCGGAGATCCGCCTTCATTTTTTTTTTACGTGGTTCTGGGTCGTGCCCATTTTTACACCGGGTTCTGATTGTGACTCAAGTGAGTTTCTTTGTTTTTTTCCGTCGAGGAAGATCTTGGAGAAGCTGAAGGTCTTTGACGCCCAGGCTAAGGACCGCTCCGTGCCAAAGTCCAGGTACAACTTAAGTCCTCGCTTCTCGAGTTCCTCACTCACCCCCTGAGCTTATGGACCTAGGTCCTCCAGTAGTGCCCTGCCTCACCCTTTTTTTGGTTGGGAGGGTTTCCCTACTGAAATAGATAAACAAAAAAGCTGGTACCACCTTATTCTATCCTCTCTAGTGGAGAACCTAGGGACTTAAAACTGGCAAACAACAAGTTGGAGACTTTTGGCCACTCGGGAAGTGAGCTTCCATCTGCTGCTGGGGGTCCGACTCTTCTTCTTCCGCGCCCGAGCTTCTTGTGGAAACCGAATGGAACACCTACCAACCCCAACCTTCCAAGTTCCCCTAGTGGTATTAAAGGTCATCTAGACACTACTGGGAATATGCCGTTCTTTTCCAGGGGTGCCATGTTAATCTCTAAGGGAGCAATGGTTTAACGCTTGCAGACTCAGGGGCGAACGACTCGACTCGACACTTTCTTTGACAACTCTGCGACATCTTTCATGAAGGTTCCCTTCATTGGGATGCCTTATTTTTGGTTGGTGAATCACGTTATTACCCTCCCACCCTTTTCACATGGAACCTGACATTGGGACCCGGTCCATTAAAAGGGACAATTATCTTCCAGAACCCCCCGAACGTCAGGTGGAGGGTATAGAGTAATTCACCAAGCTTTGTTCTTCTATTCAGGCCAGGAGCAACAAAACAGAGGTTGAATCAAAATAAGTTGCCCACACTGTAGCAGATTCCCAGCTCACTCCCGTTCATGGACTTGAGTCGCTTTTTGGGTCTGGTTGCCATTGTAGCAACTTTTCCCGTTTAGAGGGTTTTTCCGGCCAGTACATAAAGGGTAGTAGCCCGCTAGACAGGGCCTTTGGTTTCCTTCAATCATTTGCACCCCGAGGTTCTTGGGAACCGGCAGCAATGGACACCAGTCAACTGCACGGGGACAGCGATGCTCGCGGCCCTTGTTGAGAAGCCCCCAAGACGGGTCCCGACGGACTGTCAACTTTTCAGAACCTGGCAAACCGATTTTTTTCCGCGGGCCTTATTTTAAGGAATCCCCAAGAGGGGTAGGTGCAAGGGGGGTGGGTCTTTGAGAATCCTGGGGTTCGTTGCAGTTCTTTTAGGGTTCCTTGACGTTCCTAAAGGAGCCTCAGGGAACACCCCCAACGGAAGTGAGCAACCCACAACATCCCAACCCAGCCTTCTCTCACTTTGAGATCCGCTTCTGTCAGAGACCACAACCACCCAAGCCACCCAACCTCTCTTGAGCGATACCTTCGCAAGTTTTCGGCGTTACGCAGCGAAAAGAACAGCAACACTTCACCCAAAGTCTACCAACGCAGCAAAACAAACACACACACACACAATCGCCCAAAGTCCAAGTTCAAGCTGAGAGGTCCGTTCCTCTCACGCCTTCACTTCCCTTTGCTTCAGACTATGTCTTGCTTTCCCCAGCCTTCTTTTAAAGCAAACATCGATTTCGCTGCTGGACATATACCTTTTATCCCGTTTTTGCTTGGGCGTTTCAAAAGGCACGTGGAAGGAAATATATATATATATATACATATATATATATATATATACATGCCTCTTCTCGTTTTTCCCCGGGCGAATTCTGAGAAGTTGTCAGCTGGAAGTCCAGGAGCGGTACACCAAGAACTCCCAGTACCTGCCGGTCCACTACTTCGAGCCCTCCAAGCTGCTGGAGGCCTGCGCGGCCAAGGAGGGCACCAAGGCCGGGGGGTGGGGTGGGAGGGGAGGGGAGGGGGTGGGGGGGTGGGGTGGGGGGGCTGGGGTGGGGGGGGTGGGGGGGGTGGGGGGGGGGGGTGGGGGGGGTTGCAAAGAAAACAAATGGCTTTGCCCCTGTCCACAAAACCCCATGGCTTATACCTCTTTCTTCTTTTTTGGGGGGGGTGATGGGGTAAAAGGGACGCCGCCACAGAAACAAGCGTGGCCTGGCATGTGTTGTTTGCTCGGGCGAAGTGGGGAAGTCTACAGCCGGGTCATTTTAAGTGGCAGGAGTTTGGCAGGTTTTTCCCCAGAGAGCGATTTGGGGTCGATAGCGTCAGGTCCGGAGGTTTCCAGCTCGGTTTGATAGCAAGCCTCTCACACCAGGTCCCGAGCTTCATTCTCACTTGTCACAGCCCCTGTTGATTCCCTGGGAACGAGCAAGTTGTTCATTTTAGATGGCTCTTGTGAAAGCAACCCCCTTTTTTCGTGTTTCTTGCATTTATATCATGTTGTTTGACCAAAAAGCCAGCTGTTCCACTTTTGGGGGAGCATAAATCTATAGGCATGGGACCAGTTGAGCTTCTGCTGCCTCAGTCAGTCTGACGCAGGGCTCCTTGTATTACTGCTGTGGCTTGGCTTAGGCATCACCTTTCGGGGTTTGTAAAACGGAGTTCCGCCTCATTAGAGTGATCTTTGAGGGAGACAATGGGGAAATATGTGGACTCTGTGGAGGTGCGCGAGTTACCCATTTTTGGGGGGAGGGTTCCCCTACTAAAATAGACTACAGAAAAACGGGTACCCGTATTCTAACCCCTCTACTGGAGGACCTAGGTTTGTTCAACCTAAACCCCAAGTCCAAAAAGCAGCCGGGTGCTGGTGATTTTCGTTTGCGCCGATTCGGAATTCGGAGGTGTTCCCGGGTCAGACGCTGATCGACGTCGTGCTGAAGGAGTTCAGAAAGAGCGGTTCTGCCGGCGCCGGGCCCTTTTCCAAGCTTTGATTTGCTTGGATCTTCATCTCTTTTCAGTCTCTTTGGCCGGCAGGAACGGCGCGCAGAACTTCTTTCCCGCGCGAAACGTTTCAAAAAACCCTGCCGACGCTGCCGGTCATTTCTTAGCACTGAGGCTACAGAGCCTTGGCTTGTCGCATGCATGTTTGCCCCAGATGGGACTCGGTGCGATGTGCCGCTCCCCCGTTTTGGAGCATCCCACAGATTTGCGCCGGATCAAAACGGGGTGGCTTCGCGTGGGTGGCTCGTCTTTCTTTGAGTGGACGCCGTTTGGGAGTTCAAAGACAAGCCAACAGGAAAACCAAAGCCACGTTGGGGGTCCTTTATTTTAAGACACACTTGTGTGACCATGAAAGTTTGAAGCTTTGTGGTCGGAACATGTCTAAAGCTGGTGTGATCAAAGAAGACCCCCAGGCCCCCAGGGTCTCGTTCCATGGCGGGTGTTTTGGGGGCTGACATGGGTCAAGGGACCTTCGTACCTACGTACTTGGGCCCTTAAGGGCTAGTTTTTTTTCTTTTCCAGTAGTGCCCTTTTACCGTTTCTTTTTTGGGGGAGGGTTCCCCTACTAAAATAGACTACCGGAAAAAAAAAGGAAAACAACAACAAGAAAAAGGGCACCCTTATTCTAAGCTCTGAGGACCTAGAGAAAGATCTGATACGAAGTAAGTCATAAGTGGTGACCGTCCACTTATTTGGCTGGAAACCTGATTCAGCCAAGCCGGTGTGGCATATGGGTCTGTGTTTTTTTACCGTGTCAGTTCTTTAGTCTTCGTGGGAGGTGGGGCTTGGGCGAGCCATACCCCCGAATCATACCCCGAGCCATACCCCCGAGCCATACCCCGAGTCATACCCCTAAAAAAACACAAAAAAAGAACTTGCAAGAACTGTGGCATTTGCATGTGATCCATGGATAGCTGGAAGCTATAGGGGGGTTTAACTTCAAGTGAAGAAGGGGGTCTTGTCAAGAAACAGTGTTAGAGAGCTTGACATGTGGACCGATGCCAGGGGCTAGGGACTCCGAGGTAATACCTGGTTCACTTGTGGTTCCTGGATCTATCCTTGAGTCTGCGATGCTTGCATGGTTGGGCTCTGATGTCATGGGGCCAAGTACAGTTGACATGTCCACTCACACACTCACTGGCTACTCGTGGGGGGCCATTTTGGCTCAAGTGGTGTTCCTTCACACTCGGCGGATGTCCTGGTACTAGAGTTGTCTGTAGCATCCGTGGTGCTGTGGCTGTGGCGGGGGGGTGCAGCTTGACGTAAGACGCTGGGACTTGCAGGGCGCTGTGGCGGGGGGTGCCGCTGCTGAGCTTGAAACTTGGAGCTTGCTTCCTGCGAAACAGCTGTCTGTCCTGGGCCACTGTCGCAGTGAAACACAAGCTGTCTTTGTGCTCCTGGGGTACTCTTGGTGTTTCCGGTCGAAAAAATCTGTCCCCCGATTCATGCCCCCGATTCATACCCGATTCATACCCCGATTCATACCCTTCTGCTGCCATTTGCAGCCAAGAGCCTCTTGCGCTCTGGGCAGTACTAGCGAAGCTATGCCGCCCAAATCCTCACAAGACACAAAACTCAAAGAGAAGCACTGCAGGAACCAGCTCGCGGCTCTTTTCGAAGAAGTTCGCCAGAAGGTGGGTTCGGAAGGCTTACTGCGATGTATCAAGCGCGACACGGTGCACCACCTGTGAGAGGCCCACTAGCCTCTGCGCGGCTCCAATTTGAGGATGTCACGCTGTCTTGCCCTTACGCTGGTTCGTGAGACTGGTGCGGGTGGCGGGCCTGGCTGGGCAGCGGCGCTTCCCCTTAAGCAACGCTTGCTTGGGTCTGTGAGCACGCGGGTCGCTTGAACTCCAAGTGGGGGTGGCCATGACGTTCGCCTCAGGCAGTGGCTCTGCGCCTTCCACCTAGCGCAGCAGCTTTCGCTAACCCAGAGTGGCAGCTGTCTAGTTCAGGCCACTCACAAGCGCCCCAGGCTGGCTTGTAGCAACTAAGCGGTCCAAATTCTCACGGCTATCCAGTTGCCAGCGCACGGGAGCTTTGCAGTGTCCAAAGCCACAAATCAAGAGTTCAGAGGCGCGCGAGCCATACCCCGAATCATACCCCCGAGCCATACCCCGAACCATACCTGCGATTCATACCCCTTATACCAACCTCCCGGCACGGCCACGTCAAAAAAACACACACCCATATGTCTGCCGGAGGTTGAGGCAACTCGGGTGCTTGAAGGCCAGAAGTCCACCATGGGAAAGCAATGCGTGATTCTTGCGCGCCCCTTCATATGTCATTCACATGGTTGTCGTTGGGAAACGTGTTACATTTTTGCTTATTGTGGTTTAGTGGGAAATCCCCACTTAACTGCTACAAATTGTTTTTTTTGCTGCCCTTCCAACGTCAACCAAGTTCAATCATCTAGAAGGGGAGACTTCAACGCAAGACGAAACTGTGGCAATTGGTTGACCACAAGGACCTTGCACTCGTAGAGATAGGCAACCTCAATGCATCCTGGGGAGTCTCCCAAACCTGGGTCTGTTCGACGACCTTTGGCATCGCCAAGCGCCAACCGCGGGGGCGCGCAGTTGGGTGCCGAATTTGAGCTATGTATCACAGGCATCATGTCAATATTCGCAGGATCACTTCCCAAAGGTATCAACTGTGTGGTTTGTGCAAGCCTGTTTTTATTTCAATACAAGGTTTCTTTCAAGTTTCTTTTATCCCGATAGCCACTTACCCGAGCTGGGCGTGCGGCCATTTGCTTAACATCAGAATCCCTGGAAATGCTGGGGGGAAGTGATTACATCTAGAATGGTAGGAGACATCAAACTGAGCAATCCATACCAGGTGGGCAAATGTGCTTAAGCAACCATTCCGAAGGAAACTCCAAAGAAACATGTCAATTTGGTTTGAACATGCTCAAAGAAGTGGAATCGTCATTACGGGCTCAACCCCGGCCCGCAACCCAAACCTCACCATGCGTGTTGGTTGAGCATTTTTTGTTGGCGCCCGTGCAGACCTGTTGACATGGCTTTTCCATACAGATGATTGACCTTTGCCTTACTTGGCCAAATTTGGGACCTGATCTGACCTTTTGATAGATGGCAGCTTTTTACTTCCAGGCCCCATCTGGAACCAAGTGAGTCTAACTCTAGGTCTCCCAGTAGTGCCCTTTTACCCTTTTTGGGGGAGGGTTCCCGTACTAAAATAGACTACCGAAACTTGATAGGAAAAGAGTTGGTACCCTTATTCTGACCTCTCTGCTGGACCTAGTTGATTCTGACTTGTGACCTTTGGGGGAACACCAGCTAGCCCTTTGGTGGCTTAGATTGGTTGAACCCCTGCTTCTGAACTGGCTTGCTTAGATTTGCCATTTCGGCGTTGACCAACCTCCAGCCGCAACAAATACCCAGGAGTGCTCCTTAGGCTTCTGAAGCTCAGTTGTTCAGTGGCTCCCTTTATCAGTTTTTTTGTTGTTGTTTGTTCAGTTGTGATGAAACTCAGTTGTTCAGTGGCTCCCTTTATCAGTTTTTTTTGTTGTTGTTTGTTCAGTTGTGATGAAACTCAGTTGTTCAGTGGCTCCCTTTATCAGTTTTTTTGTTGTTGTTTGTTCAGTTGTGATGAAAAATCTCAGTTGTTCAGTGGCTCCCTTTATCAGTTTTTTTTTGTTGTTGTCTGTTCAGTTGTGATGAAATCAGTGGTTCTAGTGGCACTCCCTTATATCAGTTTTTTGTTGTTGTTTGTTCAGTTGTGATGATACTCAGTTGTTCAGTTGGCCTCCCTTATAGTTTTTTTGTTGTTGTTGTTCAGTTGTGATGAAACTTCAGTTGTTCAGTGGCTCCCTTTATCAGTTTTTTTGTTGTTGTTTGTTCAGTTGTGATGAAATCAGTTGTTCAAGTGGCTCCCTTTATCAGTTTTTTTTGATTGTTGTTATTTCCAGTTGTGATGAACTCTTTTTAATGTGGCTCCCTTTATCAGTTTTTTGTTGTTGTTTGTTCAGTTGTGATGAAACTCAGTTGTTCTGTGGCTCCCTTTATCAGTTTTTTTGTTGTTGTTTTGTTCAGTTTGTGATGAAAACTCAGGTTTCAGTGGCTCCTTTATCCAGTTTTTTTGTTGTTGATTTGTTCAGTTGTGATGAAAACTCTGTTGTTCTGTGGTCCTCTTATCAGTTTTTTTGTTGTTGTTTGTTCAGTTGTGATGAAACGCAGTTGTTCAGTGGCTCCCTTATCAGTTTTTTGTTGTTGTTTGTTTCAGTTGTGATGAAACTCAGTTGTTCAGTGGGCTCTCTTTATCAGTTTTTTTGTCTGTTCGTTAGTTCAGTTGTGATGAAACTCAGTTGTTCAGTGGCCTCCCTGTTATCAGTTTTTTTGTTGTTGTTTGTTCTGTTGTGATGAAACTCAGTTGTTCAGGGCTCACTAAAAATGATCTTTTGTTGTTGTTTGTTCAGTTGTGATGAAAACTCAGTTGTTCTGTGGCCTCCCTTTATCAGTTTTTTTGTTGTTGTTTGTTCAGTTGTATGAAACTCAGTTGTTCAGTGGCTCCCTTTATCAGTTTTTTTGTTGTTGTTTGTTCAAGGTGTGATGAAACCAGTTGTTCCGTGGCTCCCTTTATCAGTTTTTTTGTTGTTGTTTGTATCAGTTGTGATGAAACTTCAGTTAGTCATTTTTCCTTTATCAGTTTTTTTGCTTGTTGTTTTGTTCAGTGGTGATGAAAACCTTTTTTCCAGTTGTTTCAGTGGCTCCCATTATCAGTTTTTTTGTTGTTGTTTGTTCAGTTGTGATGAAATCAGTTGTTCAGTGGCTCCCTTTATCAGTTTTTGTGTTGTTTTGTTCAGTTGTATGAAACTCAGATGTTCTGGGCTCCCGTTATCAGTTGTTTTGTTGTTGTTTTTGTTCAGTTGTGATGAATCTCAGTTGTTCGGGCTCCCTTTTTTCAGTTTTTTTTGTTTTTGTTTGTTCAGTGTGTATGTTTAATCAGTTGTTCAGTGGCTCCCTTTATCAGTTTTTTTGTTGTTGTTGTTCAGTTGTGATGAACTCAGTTTGTTCAGTGGCTCCCGTTATCAGTTTTTTTGTTGTTGTTTGTTCAGTGGTGATGAAACTCAGTTGTTCAGTGGCTCCCCTTTATCAGTTTTTTTGTTGTTGTTTGTTCAGTTGTGATGAAACTCAGTTGTTCAGTGGCTCTCGGCTCAGTTTTTTGTTGTGTGTTTTTTCAGTTGTGATGAAA